ATAACATCAGCAAAGAAACGCCTGAGATCCTCGTCAATTCTTATGTCCATCAACTCGCTGCCTTCACTCATCAGCTTATTCTCCCAAGAATTCGCTAATGAAGTAGCAGATTCTACTATTAGACTAAACTTCTCCTGCGACTTCCATCCACAACATTGTTATGACAAAATATATATATTTTTTTACACATCCATACTTTAAATACACATCTATGAGATATTGTGTTTGAGAGGTACAACATGAAAGTGATGAGATGGCAAATTACTTCATTTTGCAACTCGTAGAAATGATAAATAAATAACAAACACATGATTATCATTGTATTACTACATTATTTACCTTAATTTTATCCGAGTGAAGTTCAGGAGCAATAATTTTCCTCTGGTAGGCCCAAGAACGTCCGCTCGATGCTACGAGTCCCTGTCCAAACAATGGCCCAAAGAACTTATACAGAAAAGTGGACTTCCCCAAGTCCAAAGAAGTACATAGGTTAATCTCTTTCACCAGATCATACTCCCCCAAGTACAGTACCGGTAAGGTCCCAATCCAAAACATGTAATTCGATCCTGAAAAAAAAAAAAAAAAAGGGTGTGGGGAAGGAAAGAAAGAAAAAGAACATGAAAGGAAAAGGTTCATCACAGACGGCAAGAGTAAAAAAGATTCATAAAAATGTAAGAAAATTAGCAGGTTCGATTTCTTTTTTCTTTGATGAACAGGTTCGAAAATTAAGATTGACATATGTATACAAACCGTATTGTTTAGCCCAGTTGTTCAAGAAAGGGAAAAGAGAGGAAGCCCAATCATGGGTAACTTGGCCGTCTTTCACCATAGATTTCCTGCTGAAGGTGGTCGACAGAGATCGCTTAATCTCTACAAGGTTTCCCAACAACAATGATGGCGTAGGACCGCCGACGCCTTGGCTGCTCAGCCGTGATCGGAGCCGGCGAGGCTTTAGCCATATCAGCTTGAAGAGATACGTGAAGATGCTGTATAACGCGAGAAGTAATGCAAAAGTAAGAAACATTTTTTCTCAATTCAACTGCTGAACTCTCTCTTTCCTTATATGGTAATCTTGTTGATTGGCAAATTGTATGCAACGTTTTTGTGTGATTAGATCCGCCCGCCCGCCCGCCGACGTATGGTGCATTTATTATTATATCTTCAATTGCATTTGTTTTTGTGCAACCCGAATACCAATGTCTTTTTTAAGCTTTGCTAGATTCATCATTCATCATAATTCATAAGTCCTTTTACTCTTTTTTTTTTTTGCCGTTGTGGTGGAGTCATGTTTCGGTCATGCCTTTTTTTTAAATTACTTAATGAGAGTGCTCGTTCAGTGGCTTAAGTAGTCATGTTCTTCGCATGAGAAACAAGGTGAAGTGTAGTTCAGTGGCTTAAGTAGTCATGTTCTTCGCATGAGAAACAAGGTGAAGTGTAGTTCAGTGGCTTAAGTAGTCATGTTCTTCGCATGAGAAAGAAGGTGAAGTGTTGTAGTAAATGATTATCAGGTCAACTCTTAAATTGATATTTGAATAAATATTAATTTATTAATCATGTTTTTTATAGTAAAAAAAATTAATAAAAAAAATTTTAATTATTATTCATATAATATAAAAGGTATGGTTTATATATATATATATATACACACGTAGAATTTGTTTAC